CCTGATGCGACCCGAGCCCGCTTGGGACCCACAAAGGGAGGGAGGGAGGGAGGGAGGGCCTGTTGGCCAGCAGCAAGGGCCCTGGAGCTGCCTTTTCTTTTTTTGGGGGGGAGAAGGGGGCGTCCCGGGACCTTTGGAACTCCCTGCTCAGGAAACACCCCCCCCAGCCCCTGCTCTGTCAGTATTACTAGTCCTGTATTAGTTCTCCTTCATTTGCTTTGGGAGGGCCTGACAGTCTGAAAGGGGGGGGGTGAACCAGGATGAGGCTCCAGCCAGCTGCTGGGGAGCCTGCGGGGGAAGGCGGTGTGGGGGGGGCTCCTGCCCTCCTCGTGGGGCCCCATCGGGCTGGTGGAGGCCAAAGCTGGCCCCGGAGGGAAAACGCGGCCCTGGCATCCCGCAGGAGCCGAAGGTGGCCAGGCCCCACGGCCGCCTGGCTGGCACAGAGCCTTGGGCTCCATGGGGGGGGGGTTGCTCCTTCAGGTGGCAGGACATGGGGGGGCTGCTCATGGCTGCCCCTGCCTCCTTTCCACACACCCCCACCACCATCACCCCCGGTACTTTTCTGGTATCGAGAGGTAGACTGCCCCTAGACATGGAGCCCCCACCCGCACCCCCTTCAGAGTCCCTGGCTTGACTGGGTGGGACTGACCTTTCAGGCGCCTGAGGCAAACGCTGAGGGCAGGGAGCTGTGAGGTGCCGCTGGGAGGGGGGGATAGCTGTGGGTGCCCCCGCTCCCTGGTTTGCCCCTCACGTGAGTGTCCTGCCTGCTCTTTGGACAGAGGAGGCCATGGCGTCGCCAGGCCCGGGGACCAGGCTGCCCTTTCGGGATCAGGCCGGCCGGTCTGAGGGAGGCCGCCGCCTCAGTTCCCCTCACTGTAGGGCCCCTGGGGCCCCTCCCAGGCCAGTGCCCTATAAAAAGAGTGTAAGTGTGTGTGCGTGTGTGTGTGTGTGGTGTAGTATTGCAAACAAAAGCTCTACACACACACACACACCATATGCAGCAGAAGCCCAGGAGGCGTGGGGGGGGCCTTTGCCCTGCCCCCTCTGAGCCTCTCCC